AAATTATTCACCTTTAAATTGTTCACCTTTAAATTGTTCACCTTTAGATTGCTCACTTTCAATTGTGACATCTGTGATGTCTATCTATGTGTTAAAAAACGGAAAAATTCAATTCTTATCAATCTTCAATATCACTGGTTGTGTCCACTGTTATCACTAGTGCTTGCCCCTTCTAACGTCGTGATGTAAATCAGTTAACTAACATCAACTCGCAGTTATATGTCTAACAAACTCGGGCTACGCCCTCGTTAGTAAACCATATAACTTCTCGTAGACGTTAGTTAAATAATACTTACATCACTCTGTACTGATTAAATGGAATTTAATCAAACTGTTATTTTGTTTAATCTCACATTTAAAAGCATGGTTAACATACACAGTTAATAGGCACAGTTAATAAGCACAGTGGACACATATCGATATTGATTATTGGGTTAAATTAAATACAATAATTACTTTTTTAAGGTAAATAATAATCAAATGTAAACAAAACAGTACCATTTAGGGGCTACATAGAAATTTTCAAACGTTTTGTTCCTCGAGTAAACTCTAATATTATTGGTCTTTCGTTAGCCTCATTAGACTGAACATCTTCATATTTAAATACGTTTTCTTCATTTAGCTTTTTTTTCATGTTTTGGTTTGAGATTTCGAGGTCAACATTATCTTCAACTATATCTAGTGATTTTATAATTTCATTTTGTTCAACTTTGTCTGTGTTATTGTGTTCAATTTCATCAGCTTCACATTCATCAAAATTATCGGACGGATTAGCTTCAACATTGACAGGCTCAAGACAATTTGAGATAGCAATATGTGTATTTTTTGAATCCCTAATATAATTATTAACTGCACTTGAAATATGTCCAGTTCTAACTGAAATTGTCCGCTGACTGAATCCAGCTTCAAATAATGTGGTTGCTGCAGTTGCTCTGAGTCCATGATTGCTGATCACTCTATCATCAACAATTCCAGCTTCATTAAACATCTTTTTTAACATTGTGCCAATTGTATTGATGCCAACTAATTGAATGGAATATCTTGGTTCGCTTTTACCTGTGATTGGACGACGATAGAATGGACCAGATTGTACCGGTAATTTTGAAAGATATAACTTTATCAGTTTATAATATGAATTATTATTGGTGGTATCGAATTGCTTGATTGCTTCACTCCTGATCTTTGAATGTTTAACTGATCCTTGAGCTGTTTTTCTAACTAAAGGCCAAAATTCAACATAATTTTTTCCATCACCATCGTTCTTTAATTGAAATTGTTCAATTTGAAGATCTTTATGCTCGCTTCTTCCTCTTAAAGCAAGAACTTTCCCATTGTAAAAAAACACTGCATTTAAAAGACCATGGCTTGTTGACATATTCAATACATTTTCATCCCAAAGCTTAGCTTCATCACTTATTTGAACACAATCAGCCCTTTTGACCTGCAAACCAATCCCTGAAGCTTTCAACTTTTTCAATTTGGCATCGATGACTGAACAAACAGGAGAATGTCTCGATAAAAAACTGACACCTTTGTAACCTCTAGCCTTTAGATACCGATACAAAGCAGCAGCTATACATTTAATTGAAGTTGGGGTGTAATCTTTACCTTCATTATTCTTTATTTCCAAGATGAACTTGATTACCCAGTTGATTATATGTTCACAATTCACTACTAATTCCAATTTTGTTGGTAGTCCAATTGACTCAGCAGCATTATTTTTCAGCCTATGTTCAGCCCAATCTGACCAAAGCTTGACAACCCAATCTTCGTGTCTTTTGGTATTCGTTGGTTTGGCTGATTCAACATATTCAACAACATCATTTTCATTGAAAATATCACCATATCTTGACTCGATTGAAGCCATTTTGGATTAACACAAAGGTAAGTAAACGTGATAATTGTGACCACAGGAAACAAGCAAATATGTGAATAACAAGGAAATTATTTTGGTGAATTCAGCTATTCAACTGTAAATTATTCAACTTTAAATTATACACCATTAATTTTTACACCATTAATATTTACACCTTTAACTTATACACCTTTAACTTATACACCTTTAACTTATACACCTTTAACTTATACACCTTTAACTTATACACCTTTAACTTATACACCTTTAACTTATACACCTTTAACTTATACACCTTTAAATTATTCACCTTTAAATTGTTCACCTTTAAATTGTTCACCTTTAGATTGCTCACTTTCAATTGTGACATCTGTGATGTCTATCTATGTGTTAAAAAACGGAAAAATTCAATTCTTATCAATCTTCAATATCACTGGTTGTGTCCACTGTTATCACTAGTGCTTGCCCCTTCTAACGTCGTGATGTAAATCAGTTAACTAACATCAACTCGCAGTTATATGTCTAACAAACTCGGGCTACGCCCTCGTTAGTAAACCATATAACTTCTCGTAGACGTTAGTTAAATAATACTTACATCACTCTGTACTGATTAAATGGAATTTAATCAAACTGTTATTTTGTTTAATCTCACATTTAAAAGCATGGTTAACATACACAGTTAATAGGCACAGTTAATAAGCACAGTGGACACATATCGATATTGATTATTGGGTTAAATTAAATACAATAATTACTTTTTTAAGGTAAATAATAATCAAATGTAAACAAAACAGTACCATTTAGGGGCTACATAGAAATTTTCAAACGTTTTGTTCCTCGAGTAAACTCTAATATTATTGGTCTTTCGTTAGCCTCATTAGACTGAACATCTTCATATTTAAATACGTTTTCTTCATTTAGCTTTTTTTTCATGTTTTGGTTTGAGATTTCGAGGTCAACATTATCTTCAACTATATCTAGTGATTTTATAATTTCATTTTGTTCAACTTTGTCTGTGTTATTGTGTTCAATTTCATCAGCTTCACATTCATCAAAATTATCGGACGGATTAGCTTCAACATTGACAGGCTCAAGACAATTTGAGATAGCAATATGTGTATTTTTTGAATCCCTAATATAATTATTAACTGCACTTGAAATATGTCCAGTTCTAACTGAAATTGTCCGCTGACTGAATCCAGCTTCAAATAATGTGGTTGCTGCAGTTGCTCTGAGTCCATGATTGCTGATCACTCTATCATCAACAATTCCAGCTTCATTAAACATCTTTTTTAACATTGTGCCAATTGTATTGATGCCAACTAATTGAATGGAATATCTTGGTTCGCTTTTACCTGTGATTGGACGACGATAGAATGGACCAGATTGTACCGGTAATTTTGAAAGATATAACTTTATCAGTTTATAATATGAATTATTATTGGTGGTATCGAATTGCTTGATTGCTTCACTCCTGATCTTTGAATGTTTAACTGATCCTTGAGCTGTTTTTCTAACTAAAGGCCAAAATTCAACATAATTTTTTCCATCACCATCGTTCTTTAATTGAAATTGTTCAATTTGAAGATCTTTATGCTCGCTTCTTCCTCTTAAAGCAAGAACTTTCCCATTGTAAAAAAACACTGCATTTAAAAGACCATGGCTTGTTGACATATTCAATACATTTTCATCCCAAAGCTTAGCTTCATCACTTATTTGAACACAATCAGCCCTTTTGACCTGCAAACCAATCCCTGAAGCTTTCAACTTTTTCAATTTGGCATCGATGACTGAACAAACAGGAGAATGTCTCGATAAAAAACTGACACCTTTGTAACCTCTAGCCTTTAGATACCGATACAAAGCAGCAGCTATACATTTAATTGAAGTTGGGGTGTAATCTTTACCTTCATTATTCTTTATTTCCAAGATGAACTTGATTACCCAGTTGATTATATGTTCACAATTCACTACTAATTCCAATTTTGTTGGTAGTCCAATTGACTCAGCAGCATTATTTTTCAGCCTATGTTCAGCCCAATCTGACCAAAGCTTGACAACCCAATCTTCGTGTCTTTTGGTATTCGTTGGTTTGGCTGATTCAACATATTCAACAACATCATTTTCATTGAAAATATCACCATATCTTGACTCGATTGAAGCCATTTTGGATTAACACAAAGGTAAGTAAACGTGATAATTGTGACCACAGGAAACAAGCAAATATGTGAATAACAAGGAAATTATTTTGGTGAATTCAGCTATTCAACTGTAAATTATTCAACTTTAAATTATACACCATTAATTTTTACACCATTAATAT